AAATAACATTGATCGCGCTGCGGCAGCATGTGGAGCGCGCGTGCGCGAAGAGTCGAAAATTATTTAGTTTCTCTTGATCTAATGAAGACCCCACTCTAATTCCTTTTACTGTTTACTAAGCGAAACATAGGGATAATAAATTGATTTTTTCAATTAAATAAGTTGTGGGGATCGGCATTGAAATGTCGATATAACGATTAAATTGTTAAATTGTGTTAAATAAATAAATAAAAAATTAAATTAAAAAATGAAACTACTTTTTGAAAGCTGAATTCTTGAACTAAATAATAAAAAAAATTGTGACGATACGATTAATAGAACAAGAGATAATTGATTTAACGTGTTCAAGGATAGAGAAAACCATTGATATTGTCAAAAATCATAACTTTGTAAAAAAAAATTTTAAGCAAAATACCGATACACGTGTCTTTTTATTTTACTTCCTACACTTGAAAAAATTTTTTGACAAAAATCGGAATTGTGACGCAAAAAAAGGTGTACGATTTGTAAGAGTGTCCCATGTATATAAAAGTTCTTTATACATAGTCCCCAATATTGAACTGATTTTACAAAACGCTATTATAACTATGGCTTCTAGCCAGTGGCGTATCTAGGGTTACTGGCGCCCGGGGCAAAGTGGAAAATTTGCGTCCCCTACCCCTCTGCCTTACGAACGTGACAGATTATTGTTTTTCAAATTAAAAACATTTAAAATATTTTGAGTATTTGAAGGTTTATTAAGGGTAAAGTTTTAAAATTAAAAAAAAAAATTTTTTTTTTTAAAGACCAATATGTTGAGAATATTGTGTAAAAAATTTTAGTCAGAGTCAAACTAACGGAGTTACAGCGTTTTAAACTACCGAATTTGGACGTATTTTAACGTATAATAATACATACTTTGAATCGATTTTCCCGAAAACTTTATTTTGAAAGTCGGTGAACATCAGAACTCAAAATCTACCGAACCAATCCTTTTCAAATTTTTAAGGAAGGTAATCAGGAAGAGTTTTTTTTAATTTTTAATTTTTTACTATTTTTAAAAAATAAATTAACTGCGATTTTTTGAGCTAAAATCGCACTTTTCGCTTCCAAGTGCTATAATCATATAGATAGATCAAAAAAATATATATAATAATGGAAAAAAGATTATAACGTCGTTGTTTTTAATCCCACGAGCAAAATATGGATTTTTTAATGACCCTTGAATTGGGTAAAAAATTTCATTAAAATCTGACAACGTAGTTATATAGCTGCCATAGGAAAGATCGAAAAATCTATATAGAAATTATGGAAACTAAATTATGACATCGTCGTTTTTCATCAGAATGGTTTTGGAATATAGAGTTTTCTATCAACTCTGGAAATACGAATTAAACAATAGTCGAAAATTTGGAAAATTTATAGAAAAATCGTCATAACTTCGATGATGTTTAGACTTTATGCATTTTTATCGACATATTTGATGACTGGGCATATAAGCTTCGGCTTGCCGAAGCTAGCTTCCTTTTTGTTATAATTATTTTGTTAGATTAACATGATTTTTCGAAACATACAGTGTAATTCAAATACGATTTTGCGCCCCTTAGATTTGGCGCCCGGGGCACTTGCCCCTTTCGCCCCCCCCACTAGATCCGCCACTGCTTCTAGCAAAGCGAGCAACAAAAGTAGGCTTTGATCATGTAATTTTGATTGGTCAAAACTATGGCCTGATGAAATAGTTTCTAGGCCGCATCTTTTGTTCGAATTGGCCAAAGAGGAAATATGTAGCCCTAGCTACAATAATTCTTAAATATGACTTTAAAACCTAAAGAACACATCTATATATATAAAAGCAAGTTGTGTTAGTTCCACCACTTATAACTTAAGAACGGCTGAACAGATTTGGCTGAAAATTGGTAGGAAGGTAGCTTAGAGCCCGGAATAGGAGTTAGGGTACTTTTTATTCCGTTCGACATACCAAAAATCGCATATAAACTGAGTTATTACCTCATCAAACTGACAAGCACACACTACCATAGCATTTTAACTCAATTTTTTTAAAGTGAGTAGAAATTATTTGTGAATTTGGTGAATTGAAGTGAAGTGAAGTTTTTCGTGCTTTTTGTGAATTGAAGTGAAGGGAAGTTTAATTAATAATGCCGCGACCAAGACGATCGAATCTTTCCCGACAAAGCCGTAATGCAAGAAGACTACAAAATACTGCAAATGGAAGGTCTGAAGAAGAACAAAACATTGAACGTGAACAGAACCGCGTTAGAATTGGTCGACTTCGTGCTTCTCAATCAGCAGAGCAAAGAGAGGCAATCCGTAATACGGCTCGGTTGACAATGCAGAATCGTCGAGCTTACAACAGAGGTCAAGAAATAGATCATTTGCGACGCAGAAGAAATTTATCAACTGCTGATTTGAATCGAGCAGCGTTTCAATACGATTGCATCACTGATTACAGCTTGCATCCTAGCGTTTGCATTGGGCAAATGGACGTTGTTTGCGAGTATTGCGGTGCACTGAAGTTTTCCGGAGAAACGCCTGGATTATGCTGCTTTAATGGTAAAGTTAAATTGCCATTGTTGACTCCGCCACCTGAGCCATTGTATTCGTTGCTTTGTGGTGAAACACAAGAATCACGCCACTTTCTTGCAAATACCCGAAAATACAATGGTTGTTTCCAAATGACGTCATTTGGGGCAGATATTATCGAAGAACGAGGATTTAATCCGACATTTAAGGTTTTTTTTTTGTTTGTATTACATAGAATATAGTTAAAGAATAACTTACTTTATCTTAGATACAAGGGCAGATTCACCATCGAATTGGATCATTACTACCTTTCGAAGATACACAAAAAAATTTAAAAATATACACGTATTTCATGGGCAACATGGAAGAATGCGATCAATGAAGGGATGAAACGAGCAATTCTTCAAGACTTGCAGTGTCTGCTTCATGAACATCAGGTTGTTTAAGAGTGCTTTAGAGCGCATGCCAAATGATGACTATAAAGTTGTCATAAAAGCAGATAAACGACCATCTGGAACACACAAAAGGACATTTAATGCTCCAATAATAGACGAAGTCGCCATCCTGATTGTGAACAATTTGATGAATGAGGAGATACATTATCGGGTTTTACTCTTGATCGAAGATAAGTGTTACCTCATGTGCGGTAATATATTAATCAGGTTAGAATGCCAGCGCCAAATCGTGAAATGAATGAGGCATTTAATCGAGAATTAGAACGGGAACGTGAATATGATCACCAGGAATTAAATTTATTAGTTCAAACGAATGTACCCCTGTTGAATTCCCAACAGAAGAAAGTTTATGATACTTTAATGAAGGCAATCGATGAAGAAAATGGTGGTTTATATTTCCTAGATGCCCCTGGTGGTACTGACAAGACATTCCTCATGTCATTAGCTTTAGCAACTGTTCGGGCGAGATCCAACATAGCTGTTGCAGTTGCTTCTTCGGGAATAGCAGCCATATTGTTAGAAGGATGCCAAACGGCTCATTCAGCATTAAAATTACCGTTAAATCTTCAAATTATTGAGGAACCAACGTGTAATATTGCAAAACACTCGGAAATGGCCAAAGTTTTAATGGTATCGAAATAAAATTTTTCCTTTTCATATATAAAACAAAAAAAAATTTTCTTTATCTTTTAAACACCAAACGAAGTTTTACCTAAAACTATCGCCATCTGGTGGCGGAACGGAGTTCGCTGGGTTTACTAGTTTTGAAATAAATTTGAAAAACTACAACAGAGAAATCGCCCTGGAACAAATTCAAAAGGAAAAATGTACATTTTGTGTTCCAATTTGGGGCTCTTATTTGATCTTTTCCCAAATTTGGTGTTTTTTTTTTTTATTATTTTTATGTGAAATCGTCGCGGGGTTTCCGTCTTCGGCCCAAAATACCGACAAAACGACGGAGGGAGGGGCCTTATTCGCATATTTTTGGCCAGCTGCCCGCCCGCCGTGACGTGCACCGCGCACGCTATAATGCGACGTTTAACGATATCTCGTAAACGGTGCGAGATACCGAAACATATTGTTTCTTTAAGTGCTTATTTTGGACCAATTAACAATATGACCTCAAATCTTGGTGCCCCAGGAACTAAAACCATGCCGTCACAAGTTTAGATAAAATAAATTAAAAAACTTATTCTAATTGGACTACCAAATAAAATGTCGTAAATATAGATGAGTATCGAGTGTAGCCTAAATTTAAGTTCTTATTGCAATGTTAGATAAGCTTTGGCATGTTAACCCTTTTGTTAGTAACCAACTTTACCGACGTCTTTTAGCAACCGGGTACCCGGGTACCCATAATTCTGAATATCAAAAATTTTGTTTATTTTATTAAAAAAATTTTTTCCAAAATATTTTTTTCTTAAAATATTAATAGTAAGTGACAATATAAGGAAAAAAAAAATAGTGATGACGCTAAAAAGAAACCAGAAATAATAAATTTCTATAATAAATATAAAACTGGAGTCGACACAATGGACCAAATGGTGCGGAGATACACCAGTCAACGACGATCCTCGAGATGGCCAATGGCAATGTTTTTCAATATGTTAGACATTTCTTCACTTGCGACATATATAATTTATTATAAAAATAATAAAATGATAAAAAAAAAAACGACAGAACGTCGTCAATTTATGCGTAAGCTAAGTGAGGAATTAGAATTGCCGATGATTGAAAATCGTACCGCGAATCCACAAATAATGCGTCACTTTTCAACAAAGATTGCCATTCAAAGTATTTTAGGCCATGCATTGACAGAAACAGTCGTGGTAAATCCTGGTCCAGAGATTCCAAAAGATAAAACCGGAAGAAAAATGGTTATAGGATCTTGCTATGTCTGCAATGCTTTGCCAATAAGAAGACGGCGAAAGACACGCAAGTCTTGTGCCAATTGTCGCCAACCTGTATGAGACGAACATTCAGTAAATCGTGTCCAGTGTGTTCAATGTAATTAATTATATTGCATGCATTTATAAAAATTTTATTCACTTTATTTCCTATGCTTTCCACTGTGGGTACCCGGGTACCCGGCTGCTAATGAGGCGATGGCTGAAGTTTAAGCATAAAAAAAATAATAAAAAAAAAATAATATAAATTAAATGAACTCGCAACTAGCTTTCTTTTAAGTTAAAAAACGACGATTTGAGAGCTTAAAATGAAATATTGAACTTGCTTTAAGCTTTTCACACAGATATACCGCGGGGGGTACCCGGTTACTAACATAAGGGTTAAAGCTAGATTTCAATATGTTATAATCTGAATGTTTTATATTTCTTAATACAACTTGCGACTTGTCCAATGCCAATCCATGTCGAATTATTAAAAATAAGTTAAATTAGATTACAAAGGAATGAGTGTGTAAAAAAAATTGTAACAATAATTTTGGTTTCAGTTTGGCCGGCTTGACCTGCGCAGATTCTTTTCAATTTCAAATTGTCTAAAATCGGTCCTTCGTAAAAAGTCCTGACGATCCAAAAATCTGAAATAATAAATGCCTCAATTAATTTTAGATATTCCTTCATTATGCACAGAACATACCCATCCTTTCCTTTATTATGTGTACGTAGCCGCTCCTCTAAGCCCTCGTCACTTTTAAAATTTTTCCAATCCATTTGAGACTTTTCCAGGACTGATATTTTTTTTTTCTTCTCTACTTTATTGACAACATAGCCGCCGCCAGTTTTATTTAAAGTTCTTTTCGTTGCGCCGAATTTAGATGTGGAAACATCTATAAGCGGTTTTTTATTTGAAACGGAGAATTCAACCGTTTTGGGTACTTGTATCGAACTGTGAAAACACTTAGCGTCCATTGACGATATATCCTCTAACTTGCCGTTGTTGTCGGGGTCTGTTTTCCCGCTAGTCCCAATATCGCCAAGAAAATCTGCCCAAAGTGCATCTGATCGCGATTTATCGGTCTCATCTTCGGACTGAAGCTCGTCTTTCTCGAAATTCCTTTGGTCGTTTTGAGCACAAATAGACTGTCGAGTCTTACGCACTACTGAACATTTCCGACCCTTCACCGAATAATTTCATGTTAGGTTTTTGGTACAAGTCTTTAATTAATTTCGCGACCCTTACCGAAGTCGAAAGCCCATCATCCACGCAAAAATCTTCGTCGCTTAATGAGTCCAACGTAAAGTCCTTTTCAATGCTCATGACGTCCACCTTTTATCTGATGGCTGTTTGGATTTTAATACTTAAGCGAACTGAGATTAATGTTACCGCTGCTAAGCCAATATAAAAAACCAGCTTTTATTTTAAATTGTTATACCTATATTCCACTGATAAATTTACACATTCGCTGAAAATGGCACTGAATGGTAAAATGTGCATCACAATGGCGAATGTGGAACGGCGGAATAAAGAACCGTGGGTGTTTTTTTATTCCTTTTTTTTGGTTTTCTCTTAAAAGATTGAAAAGCGTTGAGAATAATATGACTACATTATTTATAGGTTTGTTACTCTATGACACCTGAAAGTAAATACAGAAAATATATGCCGATGTTTCTACTCACAAGACGTTAAACAAGTTGAAAGGATGCTCTCTCTCTACTCAGTAACAACTGATCCGATCACTATCGAATTTTTTTTACATGTTCTATATATAGTTCTCCGTACAATGACCTATCGCTTTTTTGATCTGATCATAATTCTTCTTTTTTTTTTATTGTGGGTCATTGTACAGACAATATTATCTAGTTTAACGAGAATTTTTTTTTATGGACCCACGGAGAAGGCCGGAATCACTGCAGCAGTGAAGGACCTTTTTTTTTTTAGCGCCGTTGGAGATTGAATATAACTTAAAAAATATTTAATTTAAAATTAATAATTTTAATTTTAAAATTTCACTGTATATTTATAAAATACAGTAGAATCCTGTTATAACGACTCCGCTTATAGTGTCCGTCCGGGTTGTGCGACAAAAACTCGATGGTTTGGTTGGTCCCCATACAAACTTATATGAAAGGGCCTTCCGCTGATTTTCCGAGGAAATTTCCATTTTCCAAGGTAAAAACCTTCTGCCCCTCCTAAGGGGGTTATTATCTTACGAAAAAAAACCCTTGATTTGGTTCCCAAGTTTTTTTGGGGCTGAGATATGGAGTCAAAATACTGGAATTTCGTCTTCAATTTTCACAGGTATAAAAAAGTCTGATCAACTTGAAATTTTGCATACGCCTCATAGACCGATGACAATACAAGAACTCAAAAAAAATTCTCATCTTCGCTAGGATTCCTAAATTCTTTTATAAATCCTCTGTAAAAAGACAGAGCTAGACAATTTATTTAGGCTCGTGACTTTTTTGTTGCTGGACAAGCATATCGACGCATTTCCGCGACTGTATCGTATGTCGCTTTTTTTCGAAATTGAGATTTTAATGCAAAATTGTTAGGCACCTAATGTCCCACTACCCAGTGAAATATTATAACTGAAAGCCCTATAGTTCCGATAAAAATTAAGTTTTATTTTTATCGTATGTTACAATGTGCGCGCGAAATTATCGTATGTCCATACAAATTTGCATAGAAATACTGCAATCGCACAAAAATACCGAAATACAAAAATAAAGAAAAAGCTTCTCCTGTAAAATTTGTTTTTTCTACATACGATACAGTCGTGGAAATGCGTCGACATGTAGCAGCTTGACGTGTAAGATCCTTAGACGGTTTCGCATCGAAGAATTTGATTACTTTAAGGCAGGTTCTCACCTTGTAGGGCCGAAAAATGGACATTTTTAAAAAAATTGTTTTGAGAAAACGGTTAAAGATTAAAATCTGAAATTTGTAACCTTATTTGAAAACATATTTATTTTGGGAAAAAATCAAAAAAGGGGAGGGAGGGGGCGTTCCTCAGTTGCAACATATCGGCAAAAAGGTGTCCCGCTTACGGAAGTGATTCAGCCAAAACGGGTAATCGGAAACACAAAAACCGAAAAGATTCTAAAAGTGTACAGTACTGTGCATAAAATGAACTAGGATCAGAAAAAAAAATGAAAATTGCAAAAGTTATTAGCTTTTGAAAAAAATTTCGATTTTCGCGCTTTTTTTTCTCACTAGTTATTTTCTCAATTAAACAGATTTCAATATTTTTGGATAATCCTAGTTCATTAGTTAAAGGAAACAATTAGGAACATTTAAAAAAAATTTGATGACGATTGGTTAACCCCAACGCGTTCAATTACTTCCGTAAGGTCCGAAAACGTGGTTCCGAGATAAACGCGTTTAAAGTTTTGGCTTCCAATGGCCGGTGCTGGACATGTGCTCCATGTAAGGGCCTGTAAATTTTGTAATATTTCAAATTTGGATCTGAATTTTTTTGAAAACATTTTCGGAACATATATCTATACGATAAGCCAAAAAAAAAAACCACATTTTTTTTCCCACAAGGTGAGAACTTGCCTTAAGGTAACCGAAAAGCTCCTTGTAATATGTTCGGTCATGCCGCAGCCTAAATCCAATGATTATATTTAAATCGTAACGTAAAACTAAACTCTTGATGTTTGCTTTGTTTTGCTATTTGCCCTGCGCGGCAACACTGTTTAATTGTCATTGCTAACTCCTTTTTTTGCACTTTTTCGCTTATCGCTTCCTGGCCTTGTCCACGGCAAGCTTCATTTCTAGTTCGAATTTGTACACGCACATAGAAGGCACGATCGCTGATCGCCTGCCAAATCTCGGCTTTATATACTTTCGCGACTAAAACGGCACAGACAAATCGGTCTGCCTGCCCATCATACTTTCGTCTAAAGCACAGACAAATCGGTCTGCCTGCTAACCTACCCTTTCGCTGCAAAAGGCACAGACAAATCGGTCTGCCTGCCCAACATACCCTTTCGCTGAAAAATAGGCACAGACAATTCGGTCTGCCTGCCTAACTAAATCTACTACAACAAGCTAACTTTGTACATTTAAGGCCTTGGTGCCAGGTTAACAAATAAGTGCATATTTAAGTCGAAATTTGTGCGTTATTATTTTACTTGGGCACCACCAAAGGTCTTTGAAAAAGCTCACTGACCCAACATAATAGTAAAGCCTCAGATGAAATAAATCGATTAAGAAGCGATATACCAAAAATAAATTGTTAATGAATTGTACTAAAAATTAAAAAACAAATAATAGTTAAATTTTTTTTTTTTTTTTTTACGGTGTTTAATTATTGAACCTTCTCTGAACGAGACTAACGACAAGTATTCAAATCTTAGCCTAATACATATAATTGATTAATTAAAATTAAGTTTTTTTTGGTATAACGGCCCTAGCTATTGTTGCTGGGTGGGGCGATCTCTTCGCCGGAGTCGTGTGTGGTTAGTTTTCATTCTGTATGTACCACGGTGCACCCTTTATTGTTTTCAGTATCTTCGATTGGGCTCTCTGGATAACTTCTAGGTTACTAACGCATGCGTTCCCCCATAGCTAGGAGCCATACCTCCAAATTGGATTGAGAACTGCATTGTAGAGAAGTACCTTGTTGTCCAATTTAAGCGGATAGCGAGCATTTATTAACCAGTGTAGCTTCTAGCTTTTAATTTTAGTTTTATTCTCTTGGCTTTGATGTGCCTTCTCCAGGTAAGCCGTTTATAAAGGTGGACTGCAAGATACGTTGGTACCGTTGTTTCCATTTCTCCAAAAGCCCGAGATGAGCTGACAGATATTGTATTGCTCTCTAATGGGGCACATAGATTGACTAAGAATGGCAGTATCATCAGCAAATGTTGAAGTTATTGTAAGACTGGTTGTCGAAAGGGGTGCTGTGTAGATGATATACAGCGTTGGTCCAAGAACGCTTCCTTGAGATACTCCAGCTTCAATTGGATGGTAATCGGAGAAGCTTCTATGCTCAAGATTTGACTCCAGTATTTTATGAGTGTTCTGTGGTAGTAAACGCGGTCGAAGGCCTGGGCTACATCCAGAAAGACTGTGGAACCATACTCTCGACTTTCAAATGTATTTCGTATCTCGGAGGTTATTCGGTTTACTAACCAAATTGGTGGCTTGGGCTTTATGGATCATAGTGATGGCAGACTTTTTCCATTGGTGTGGATAATAACCCCATTTCATCATGCTGTTGAATATCGTGGCGAGAAGATTTACTGTTACAGCTTGGCAATTCCATAATAATTTTAGGGAGATTAAATCATGTCCTGGCGGTTTTTTTTCCTGAGCCTCTATCACTATTACCACTTCTCTTGATTCGAATGTGATAGGCAGGGTAGATTCTGGAGTGTTGATTGTTGGGAGCACAAAGCTGTTTGTTGATGGAAGCGGTTTGAAGACGTTTTCCAGATGCGCAGCATATGCATTCGCCCTCTCTTCGTTGCTCCTGTTTGTGTGTGTAAAGGCGATTCGCTTTCGATTGGTGGACATATACCCGATTTAGCTTTCGTCTGCTGTTAGGGGAAAGATTCTTCAAATAGAATAATTGAGATGGATTATTTTCATCTTCTAGGGCTGTGCGTAGAAGATAGTTGGCTGTTTTAAGCCGCTCCTTCGAGGCAGGCGATCTGTTGGCTGGCTACTCCCTCCAAAGCCTTCTCTTAGTGCGCAGTGCGTTGATATGCCCAGAAGTTCGACTGCTGCTAGAATTAGAATTAAAATTACAATCCGATATAATAGGTATGGAGTGTTGAGCAGCTAGTGGCATAACAGACACTAGCGCTTCAACTGAGCTGTCAATCTCTTCTTTTTGGTACATATTTGGGAAGCCATCAATATGGGTACTTACATACTTTCTGTATTTAAGCCAATCTGTTTTACTGGCCAGTAGTTTCTGGAATCTGGTTCAATGCAGTAAGTTTTAGTATGACCGTACTCCTAACAATTCATACATTGCACGGGCCCATTCCGCTTGTGGGGTTCCTCAACGGTGACCCTAAGGTGCAGCATATATTGAAGCTTATATATTGGGTGGACTTCATTGTTTTTAATTTCATAGTTTCCGGCTCCAACTCTACCTTGAACATTGGCTGCGGAACTTTGTTTTTATTTAATAAATTCCTAGCCTGTTTGAAATTAAACCCGTTTTCTTTAGGTCCAGCTATTATTTCATATATAGAGACTGTTGCTTCGATACCTTTAATAACTACTTGTAGTCCTTTGCAACTTTTAATTTGGTAGGTGTAGTAACTTATTTTTCCGTTGTCAAGATGTTTGACAACAGATCGATAATCTTGTTCGTTGTTCACTTGTATTTTAGTTTCATTTATGTTACCCCTTTTTATGGATGTAACA